AAAATAAAATTCATGAACTTTAAAAAATTATACGGGTTCACACTACTGCGTAAGTTGAAAGTATTAAAAAAAAATCTTAACAAGAATAATTAACTAAGAATTACATTCCACATATTAACGTAAGTAACTTGCATACCTGAGAAATGCCGGAATATCCTTTCATATTTTTTATATGCTTTGATGTGGCCATGTGTTCTTTCAAAGACGCCACTCTACTTATTACTTCACAGTTGCATGCTTTACAATGAGCACTCGTAGTGTTTACCTTAGATTTACATAACCAACTTTTAAATGAGGGATCTTGCTCCCATTCATCGCGATATCCTTGTGTATATTTACGTTTCATTTTAAATTCGATTATAAAAAATCTCAATAAAGGAATTCCCACTAGTCTATCCACATTCCATGCTCAGAAAACGACTAATAAAATTGTGTTGTCTAGTCTATCATTATAGAAGCAACTTTAAAATGATCTAAGTTGAAAGACCTATTTTACAAAAATAGCCTTTATCTATTGGAAAATGAAATTCAATTTGCTATGCCCACAGTACCGTTCATTCAATAATAAGGGAATCCCCCCAAATCACTTTCGTGTGCTGCCAACTGTAAAATTAAAACTTTTTGGACGTGGATGCTTGGTTTTAAGCCTAATATTTTTGACAGAGAATTAATACCAAAACCTACCGATGTGTTTCTCATTTCTACTAAATTCTACTAAGACATTTTATCCTACTAGATTATCATCTTATTTGCTTCAAATCTACTAAAAAAGTAGAAATCTACTAAAAATGGTCACGCTGGTCCCAAAATACTGAAGCCATCACCTTATTTGCCGACAAAATCGACTTTGCCTTTTTAGGGGGTGGTGAACCAGGTCTTCTCCACTGTTTTGATTGTTGTTTTGTTTCCGGTGTACAGTAATGAACCCATGTTTCGTCCATAGTAACAAAACGATTCAAAAAATCATCTGCATCGGCTTCAAATAACTCCAAACAGTCGCGTGAAATAGTCAATCGCGTCCTTTTTTGTTCAACTGAAAGCAGTCGCGGAACCCACCTCGCAGACACCTTGTGGAAACCCAACTCGTTGACAATGATGTTTTGAGTTCGTTCATAAGAGATGCCTATAATCTCGGCTATCTCTCTAATTTTTAATCTGCGGTCTCCCATTATTAAATCAAGTACTTTTTTTAATATTTTCGTCAGTATCAACTAAAACTAAAGGCCTCCTAAACAAAGAACCCCGCTCTGGAAGGCCTTTGACGTTGACGTCGAAGGCCTTCCAGAGCGGGGTTCATCTTTCACACTCTCTCTACCACGCTTAAATTCTGCTATCCATTTTTTGACGGATGAATATGACAGAGCACAATCGCCTAATGTACTGACCATGTCATCATGGATGGCTTTTGATGATAGCCCCTTCTTATGGAGGTACTTAATGACGGCACGCTGCTCGATTTGCTCCATTCGCGGAAATTATGTCCGATTACTTTGTTAATAAATTTATAAAATCACAACTAATTATCGCACACGTTTCGAACTTCACACAATGAACTAGTCTGAACTGAAATGAAATGAAATGAAATGAAATGAAATGAATTGACTGAACTGAACTGATGAAATGAAATGAACTGAACTAAATAATGTGGGTAGATTTGATTTTTAGAATTGAATGGATCTGTGTTAGGCCGAGTACTTTTCAATCCACCCTCGTATAGGCGAATGGAGGACATAAATTATTATTTTTCATAGAAAAGGGTGACAAACGAGCACACAGTCCACTTGATGGTAAGTGAATACTGTGGCCCATAGACATCTACATTTATTCTCGATTAAGAATCAAAATGCAGATGCGTTGTCACCCCTGAGAACTAAGATGGAATTTATTCAATGTGTCGTGTTTGCGTAAATTTAAGAAGTCATTAAGGTGGAATGCCTCGATTCTAGTAAAAAATGGTCTCCGAATCTTTACACTCACAATACGAAACACAGCAGCATTGAGATGCTATTTTACGTTAGTATTCAGTGAGAGCATGGTCCTTCCCGGTCGAGCTGACCCATTCGTGCTACAATCATAATATATAGCAGCAGCGTGGCTCTACGTATAAATTAGAGACTTTAAAAAAATTCAAAATTCTGTCCGTTTTATCTTTTAAATTCATAATGCGTCATAATGCATTACGAGTGTTTTAACAGATTTTACTGCCCACGCACACGTTCATAAGAGTCGATCGGTAGGCAAAAACATCGTTGCCCATAAATCACATTCAATTTGGGATAATTGCAAATAAAAGTAGAAGCCTTATTTACTTGTATTTTCAAAAACTGCAATAATGGTATATCATTATTTATATATTTGAACTTAAGCTTACAATCTGGCTACTCTTTGAAAAAATAATTACATATATGTGAATTAGCTCAGGTATTCCCTAGACATGGGACGAGTATTAGGTTTGAATTAGGTACTCGGTGGGTTCGGCCTTTTTTTAAGGTTCGGCCGAACACCGAGTATTAACGGCCGAGTACCGAGTACTCGGCCTTAATTATACCAGAGAAAAAAAGACAAAAAGACGGTTTTTATCATTGTCATTATAATAGACACATTAAAACATCAGGAACATGAAAATCAGCAGAAATATTGAGAACGTACATAAGAATCTATAATAGAAATTATTATTACTAATAATTAAAATTTAAGAGAGGAAGATTGTGATGCAAGCCCCATTTGGGTCCAGTTTGTTCCTTTTTGTTTCATATACTAGTCCCGCCACAAAAAAACGGTTCACTGTAAACTGTACTGGCGGGTGTTGATAAGTATTGAGCCGCAACTTTTCCCAAGATGGGGTAATAGTCTTTACTAGAAACCCACCATTTATATGGATTTGCATCTCTTGTGGCCCTTGGTACGCTTCAGTAAGGTTTTAACTCCGCTGCAGCGGAATTCTTATGAACATTAGGTTGGCAACTGGTTGATGCGTCAGCAGCTTCTTTCTTTTTCCTAAGATCAATAATTTAACTAGATGTTTTCCGATAAAACGATTTTTATAAGCAGTCATTTTCGCGTCAGATAACGAAAACAATTTCTCGAACATGAGTTATTTGCCAAGTAATCAGTAAACACTCATCAACAGTGTCCGTGGGTGTGTGACTGATCGAGCACCGATACAAGTACCTTTCTTTCGATACTACATGGTATTCAGTTTTAAAGTATCGATACCAAAGTACTTGGTATCGAAAGAAAAGTATCAAGTAAGTACTTGTATTTACTCGTATCATTTCATACCTAACTCTGTGTAAGGGAAAAAACCGCGCGCCGCCCGCTACCGCGTTTTTTTTTAAGAATAATAAATGGGGATTCCATTTATTAAGGGCACATTTAATACACTTATAAGGCATTTCAGCCATCACAGTAGAAATATCCAAAAGTCGGTATCTAGGTTGAGACTTACCTAGATGGAATTTTACTAGATTAAAGTGAAATTAATATACTAGCATAAATATATATACAAGCTACTGGACTGGAAAGGATACGGTATTAACATCAATGGCGAGTACATAAAGTCCTTATGGCAGAATCGCTGGAAAACTTAAGCACTATGCTCAATGACCTCAATTGTGCCTCCCAACGGATAGGTCTTAAGATGAACATGGACAAAACAAAGATCATGTTTAATATCCATGTCACACCTATGCCGGTAGTTTTTGGGAGCACTAAGCTCGAAGTTGTTGACGAGTACGTTTACCTGGGACAAATAGTCCGGCTAGGTAAGTCCAACTTCGACCGAGAGGTCAATCGACGGATTCAACTCGGCTGGGCAGCGTTCGGGAAATTACGACACATCTTCTCGTCAGGTATACCTCAAAGCCTGAAAACTAAGTTGTACAACCAGTGCGTGTTGCCAGTGATGACATATGGAACTGAGACGTGGTGCTTCACTGCTGGCCGTATGAGGACGCTCAAAGTCGCTCAGCGAGCTATGAAGAGGGCTATTCTCGGAGTTTCTTTGCGTGATAAACTTAAAAATGAGGATATCCGCAGTAGAACCAGAGTGACCGACATAGCCCAACGGATTAGTAAGCTGAAGTGGCAATGGGCAGGCCATATAGCTCGAAGAACCGACAACCGTTGGGGAAAAAAGGTTCTCGAGTGGCAGCCTCGTACCGGTAGACGAAGTGTAGGGCGACCCCCCACTAGATGGAGTGACGACTTGGTAAGATATGCAGGAAGTCGATGGATGCAGGTGACTCAGGACCGTGCTTTGTGGCATAAAGGGCTGTAATTTATGTTGGGAAATTTTTTTCTTTTATGTCTTACACTGAACGTTATCATAACATTTTCATTCTGACTTCCATTTCAAAAACAGATGCAAAAGACCCACAGATATAAAAAAATGAAATTAAACGTAAATTTAAATACTTAATTTTAAGCAGACCAATCCCTAAACAATTTAAAAAAAGACTGCAAGGTAAATTTTGGTGGAATAATATAAATTTCGTATAAAGGTACATTCATTCATCATCGATGGTTCATAATGGAAAAGACCATACGATATTTTATAATGTGATGTATGTGAGCCAGACATTACAAGAACCTTCAAGAAAAGAGCGTGTTCCTTTTTAAAAGGCCGGCAACGTATCTGCAATCCCCATGGTGTTGCAGCTGTTCATGGGTGACGCGACGGTAATCATTTACAATCAGGTGAGCCGTATGCCCGTTTCTCCTATAAAAAAAGCTGTTTCCGTAACCGACCGGTATTAGGATATTTTTTTCACAATTTTACATGGAAAATACACCAATGGTAGGAATCCTTCCTATGACACCCACAAGTGACTCACTGTTAGCTCATCTTAATTATTAGTTATATGGCTGTTTTGATTTTTTTAATTTCCTTGCTATTTTATGTAAAAGGACGTAGACTAATATTAAACACTGTAAATAATATTTCGTTATCAAATGGATTTTTATGATAATAAGTAATTGAAAGTAATAAACGATGTTACCTTTCTGCTGACTGCGGAGTTTTTTCGGCATGTGGAGAGATGATTATCTCGCCCACGTCCTCTGCGTTCGCCGGATCAGCATTTCGCAGCGAGTCTGGAAATTTAACCAGTTAGTTTCGATCATAAAGTGACAAGGCAAAACTGTCTTTTATACCATACATTTGATTTGATTAATTAATAAATACAAGGATTTGTTAGCACAGAACATTTTTTATAGACAAAAATTATTTCACCGTCATTCCAGCAGTTAAAATTGGTTGCAAAAAAGAATACATAATTTTTATAGGGGTAAGTTTTTGTTGAGGGTATTGTTTAGGTGCTGAACCGGGATTCAATCAACTTGCTGTGCGCTTGCGATGGTCATTCATAATCGATTTTTGTCGCGGTCATCAATGCGATTCAAAATTCCATCGTTTGTGTGCCTGTTGAGCAGTATGGCACATCTCGATGCGTACTTTGCGCTGGCGATCATTGAGTTCTTGGGGCACCCATGAATGCTGGCACCCCAAAAAGTTTGACAGCTTTTTACCTTGCCAACACGAAGGTACCAATATAGTTTTGATGCTATCGTCGAAAGCTGCTGCTCATTCATCCGTAGAGTGAGTATCTATCGCAAAGATCAGCTTCCACAATCGCCTTTAATTCATCATTGTCGACCAAAGTTTTCGGATAACCAGGGGGTAATTTTTCAGGTGGACTATGTGCTCGTTTACCACCTTTATCCCATTGTATAAAAAACCGAATTGTGGTGTTCTTTGTTTGAAGTTGTTTACAAGTGTCATTGAATAGCAGAAGTCACTTAGCATGTGGTGGACTGTCAGCTCATTTGTTACTTTAATTATATAAAGGAAAGGTTTTTATAACGATTTTATTTTCCTAGTTTAGTCAAAACAACAACAGATGTCTTTTTATTTTTTACGCATATATTTACACCGAGAAACGGTAACTAAGTTTCTTGTTTTGGGGTACAGCGAGCAAATACAGGAAAAATATGTTTAAAAAGGTACTTAAACTAGTTTTTGGGTAGAGCAAATTTTATTTCATGTCACGTTGAATCAAAATAATATTATATTATCGATGGTATTGAATAAGTGAATTTAAATATTGTTGTCTTCATTTTATAGAAAACTTATTACCATCACATTTATTTTTGTTTCACAAACGTTGTATATTTCATTACGAGTGCGGAAAACCTGTCATTGCAAAGAGTTCCGAAAAATGTCTACCCGAGCCGAGGCGCAGTCGAAGGTGAGGGTTGACAATCGGAACAAGTTGCAATGACGGTTCCGCACGTGTACTGAATAACTATTTTTAATACAGTTGCGAAAAAATGAATCAATTTAATAAAATAATAAAAACACAATAAACTCAACTAACGGGTATTCATTTATATCCACGTTGTTCCTTATTTTCAAAATACTTTTTATCATCGAAAACCTCGACCATAACGTACTACGTACGTACGTACGTACGTAGGTTTTAATTTTGCTGAGAGTTCGGAAAAGTATGCCAACATAACATTTTCTGAAAAACTATTTGCTTTTGTCTCTTCTCTCCAAGCAATAAATTCGTCGGATGTATCTACATAGTAGCGACTTTTTGACTTTTCTGGTAAAATATTCTCTGAAGCATTTTGTGCAATTATACTGAGTTCCGGGGGTGTTAATTCAAGTAAAACATCGTCGAAATTACTCATTTTGTGCAACAAACAACTAAACTCGTAAAGAACATTTTTGGAAAATGGCGCCAACCGTAAAAGATATGCAGAGATTTTTTTGTTTTCTTCACCCATTCTGGGCAGGCAAAGGGAACTATGCTCATACAGCCAAATCTTCAGTAGAATTTTTTATTGATATGAAATGTAAATGAAATGTAATGAGATGAAATGAAATTAAGCCTAACCTAACTCATTGAATCAAATCATTAAATCTGATATTGAAACAAATTAGTAGCTTCTTTATAAAAACCTCTATGAATTTTTTTAGTAAAATTTTCGTGGTTGGTTTTTATTTTTAATAGACATTATTTCGACAGTTGGGAAAGAGAACGCACGAGTTCGGAAAAGGTAAGGAAAAAGCTCGAGTACGTAATAGCCCACATCCCGAACGTTATACGTCCCTGCAATACGCCACTTTTTGAGCAACTGTATTAAAAAATAATTATTCTGGGTGTGACTGAATGAAATGTATGTTGTTGGACTTTAAGGAACGAAATTAAAAAATAATGTTTTGAGATGCTTCTTTAAAATATTTGAATGGTCAAAATCATAAGTTAAAAAAAATCAATTACAACAATCAAGAACCACTTTCTGGTCTCGCACAAATACAATGCTAGCTTTTTATTACTCATCTAATGAAGCGTCACTTTTTTGAAAACCACTAAATTTTTAGATAAAAATTTTGCTCTGCTGACCTTAAAATACTAGCAGTAGACGTCGTAGGCCAGGTTCATATTTGGTATTATGTTCGTCTTGGTGTATCGTTACTCTATCGCGTGGTGTGTTATGTTTAATGTGGTTAACAAATTCCCCGTCCGCAAAAAAGACACAATAGTCAAACAATAGTAATGTTTATATATGACTCATCATTATCATCATCATTACAGCACTTCAAAAGTCCGCTGCTGAATATAGGCCTCCTCCAAGGAATGCCCTCCAGCACAGTACCAATACAAAGTACGGCCCTCAGCCACCGACATCCTTCAACTTCCTGCATGTCTTACCAGGTCGCAATCCTAGCGGGGGACCACCCTGCTTTTCACCTACCAGTAAGAGGCTGCCACTCGAGAGCCTTTTTTCGAGCTACATATATGGCCGGCCCATTGCCATTTGAGATAACTAATCCGTTGCGCAATGTCGGTCACACTCAGATATCCTCATCTCTAAGTTTATCACGCAGAGAAACTCCAAGCATAGCTCGCTGAGCGACCTTGAGCTTCTTCATACAGCCAAAAGTAAAGAACCACGTCTCAGATCCATAAGTCACTGGCAACATGCACTGGTTGTACAATCTCGTTTTCCAGTTTTGAGATATACCTGACGAAAAGATGTGTCGAAATCTCCCAAACACTGCCCAGCTGAATGTTGAATCCGTCAATTGACCTCTCGGTCCAAGTTGGACTTACCTAGTCGGACTATTTTTCTACACTTCAGCACTTCGATATACCGACATCCAACTTTGCCCACTAAAGGGACTGTAGACCGTAAAAATTTCGACGGCATCAAAGGCTTTCTTATAGTCCATATACGCCAGGCAAAGTAGCAGATTGTACTCTATTGTCTTCTGTACAATTTGCTGCATATGTATGAGGTCTGTGGTAGTAAAGATTTTTTATGGTACTAAAGTTTTTTGGAAACTCGAAGGCGTCGAGTCTGCGTGTGAGACGATTCGTAATGACCCTAGAAAACAGCACGTAGACAAAGTTTAGAAGGGAAATCAGTCTGTAGTTCTCCAAGAGAGCGTTGTCGCCTTTCTCGAGGAACAAGACCAACGCACTTCTGCTCCACGCCTCCGGAGTAGTGCAATCACGAAAGACGAAATTAAAGAGCTTTGAAGAACTTCATGTACCGGTTTTTCAATCGCTATTAGAAGCTTCGCTGTAATTTCATCCTCGCCTGTTTTACACTAACTTCCAGAATATCATCAGAATAGAGTCGGATAAGATTTTCTCTTGGATCTTTACTCACACTTGCGTTTGGCTCCAACGATGACGTGTATAGCTCATAAAATCTCACAATTTCACTCAGATTCTCAGGTGTCCCGGAAACGTGGTATACGTGGTAGAGCTACGCTGCAGCTATATTGTATTTGTAGCACGAATTGGTCGGCTCGACTCGGACAGGACCACGCCCTCACAGACTACCAGCGTAAAATAGCAGTGTAATGCTGCTGTGTTTCGTATGGTGAGTGTAGAGAATCGGAGACCCTTTTTACTGGAACCAAAGCATTCCATATTAGTACTCAGGGGTGATAAGGCAGTTGCATTTTGATTCTTAATTGAGGATAAATTTGGATGTCTATGGGCCACAGTATCCACATACCAAAAGTGAACTGTGTGCTCGTTTGTCATCCAATGCTATAAAAAAAGATGCTGCCACACTCGGTCTATAGCTTTGACAGTCTGGCAGACAGATCTCTGGCAAGACCTTTCAATACGAGTTGTATTGAAGTTGAATCTTTAAATCCTGCCGCATGGATTTAAAGATCTGTCTGTTCAGTTACCTGTGCGATGTCAAATCTGCTTAAGAATGCAGCTTCAACTCCCGTTTAACAGCTATGAGATTTAGAGTGTAATTGAAGAGTTTTTGTGTTTTTCTGCGACGGGTCTTACAGAACTTAGCTCCGACCTCATAGATAGTTTCCACGAGCTTGTCATTCATATTGTTCACTGCATAGCAGTACTCTAGGCACCAGAAACGGTTTTGTAACTCGAGCTGATATGAGCTAAGCTGAGAGCTGATATTTGGGACTTTGGATAGGAGCACAAAGGGGACGGAGCGTTGACTTTATTAAACGTGAACTTACAGACTGGTTCAGTGTACTTCTCACCATTCGGTGATCTCTGCCTGTTTTTACTCTCGCGACCGCCGAGACATCACTATACAGTTGCCGTCTAGTCGTCATTATGAAGTCAAACTCATTTTTTGTCGAACTGTCGGTGCGCGACCAGGTTCACTTCCTGTTTCTGGAAGAAAGAGTTTATCAAAACAGTCCCTCTTTCTTCATAAAGTTGGCCAGCTGCTGGCTCCTTAGGTTCTCTTGCCCTATTACGAATTGCCCTACCTTCAGCTCCCCGTTTTTTCTCGGCCGTAGTCTCCAATTAACACCGTATAGTTGGTTTCCGAGGAACGCATGGCTTTAGAGATAGCTTCATTCATTTTCTTCACCTCCCTATCTGGATTTACCGAGGTTGGTGCGTAAACCTGTATGACCTTCAACGAATACCGTTTAGTAACTTTGAGTGTACGGTACGCTTCGTCGACATACTCCCAATCTTTACAAATGGTTAAGTCTGAACGCGTTTTATGACACTATATACGACATACTTAAGGTACGAACACTTGATCACACATCGTACATCGATCATAATACGTAA